TTCATGCATTACCACTGCTGGTAAATGAGTGAGGAATATACAATCTGTGAGCTATGAATTGTTGAGCAACGGCTCTAGGGAGGACACTATTTCCATACTCGGGTTTGTATTTCTGCCTACCATGACCAGATGTTTAACCCATTAACGTCGGTATATTTTGAAGCCGAAAATACAAGATTCTGGGCGGCTACAAAATTGGCAAGCAGAGCTGCCCCGGACTCTGTCCGCCCGCCGGCCACAGCCCGCTGCTGTGTCGGAGCGCGAGCCCCAATACAGTGTCACAATGGCGGGACGCCCAGCAATATTTATTTTTTCGGGTGTCTCATATGTGGGACACCCATCGTTAGTGGGTTAAATATCATAAAAATAAAATATCAAAATGACATAAATAACAAAATATTCATTGAGTTATGGACTATTTAGAGAAATAATATGGTGGCTGTGCAAGACAACAATCATTTACTATCTGGATACAGGATATCAAATGACAAAAAGAAGACTAGAAAAGGGCAAAAAATAAAAGAACACCAAAAATGCTTATGTACAAAAAGAGATAACAGCATTGCAAGGAGGCTTGACACCCCACATGAGTGTTCATCTGGGCCCAACCTACAAGCCACACAGCCTTGAGAGTGGCTACTCAGGTAAGCCTAATGCCCAGATTTTGAGCCACATATGGACAGCCAAGCACCTGAATCCGAGGGGTTAAGTGCTTCTGAAGCCATCCATGGTAAATAAAATTAAGAAAACAAAACTACAGTGGACAGTGCAAATACCCAGACCAATGGATTAAAGGCTTTGCATCTCAAAGAAGTGTTAGAAACCCTACTCGTTTGGTGACACTCTTACACTGATTGTAGCTTTAGAGTTCCCTCATACTTGTAGTTTACAGCAGTCTATGCTGCACACAATAATCTTTCACCATTATATGAGAATGATCATGATGAACATAACTATCAATTGGTGCTTTGTCTCAACCTTTGGGAATATTTAAGCTGCAAGAATCAATATATAAATATAATAAGATATCAAACAAGAGGATATGCACTAGACAGAAATTTTGCTGCTGGACCTCACCTTCGTCCGTATCATGGTGGTCTAGAGAATCTGAATGATCAGGCACTGAGGAGGCCACCGACACAAAGGAGCTTGGTCGTGAGGTGTGTGGAGAGGTGGCAGTGGGAGGGGTCGCAGCCGTGGTGGAAGTGCTGGTGGTGATGTCTGAGTGGTGAGTGGATGTTGATGTCTGGTTTGTTAGAGAGTTCTGCCTCATGTGCAGAAGATGCAGCCGTTCTCTGGACGCTACAAGCTCTTTGCGCATACGATCACGCTCGTCATCACGCTCTGACACTAAATTCTGTGGAGACAAAAAAATATTAATCAATCAATTAATCAGAGTTTTATGCTCAAAATATCATTTTGCTACAATTTTTGTTCTATTTTCAATCAATATTTATTCCAGCTCATTCTGAACTCCCAACCAAATGTATTTGAAATTTCTTAAATCAAAATTAAGCCTTAAACTATTAGCAAAGTCATGGCACTGTTCTTCGATAAAAAAAAAGAGCAAAAAAGTAATGAAAATAATTAAATACTAATGATTCAATAAAAAGTAAGACAGCATACCAATAAAGACGAAAGCTGTTGTGACAAGGATGTAGATATGGCCATAAGCTTTGTCATAGGAGCTTGATACAGGGGTAAACTTGAGAGCTTATTGGCACTATCATTATTGGCTCTTGCAGCTACTATATCCGACTCCCGGATGTTAAGTGCTTCATTGAGCGTTTCTTGCAAACACTTGGCCTGATACATGGCAGCTAACACTAATTCTCTTGGTTCCTTGTTCCCAACAGCTGGTTCACCAGCCATGTCAGCCACATTCTCAAAGTGCTCATGCGGAATGTTTAGGATGTCTGCAATGATGTGCTGTTTTTCCTCCAAAGCCTGGCGGATCTTCAAGTCTTTCCGTCGAAGATGTTCTGTGGAGTAAGAGCAGCATTTTAACAACTATAAAACCCTTTGTTTTGTTAACTCTTAGTCATAGGAAAATTATATTCAGTATGAAGAAAATGAGAAGAGAATAAAATAGTACTGAAGTAACTTACTAAAAAAAAAAAAAAAAAAAAAAAAAAAAAAAAAAACAATGAAAGCTGTATGATAGAAGCACTTGAAGAGCAGATTCCTTTTCTCGGTCACAACAAATAGTCCTACTTACCTTTATCAGTCTCAAGACATCTACATTTAAAAGAGCACATTTTTTTGTAAAAGTTGGAATATTATTAGGATGCCTGCTGTGAGCCCAAAATATTTTGCCCTTTCATCATAGATGTGTTCTTGCATTATAAAGGGAAAAGTACAATGTTTTCACAAGACTTCCGAGGCACGTGTCCTAATTTTTGAGTTAATGACTTTAAAGAGCTATTGTAATCTTATTCCATTCACAATTTCTTCCACTTCTCCTTACTACATTTTTGGCTTCTTTTTTTAAGAAAGGCTT